CCTCAGCTGTTACAGTTTAGGCTGAGTGGGGAGCGGGAATGCCAGCAATCCAGCATCCAGAAGGGGATCCAGGCCCTGCTCAATATCGAAAGAAGAAGGGCTTTGAAAGGCGTACACTCATTTTCCTATTTTGTCCTCTGCCAAGAAAACCGGGGGGATGGAGGAAGGGGTGAACGGGTGGGGAAACAGCGGAAAAAATGTCTTGGCTGGGCCCTCTGTGCCTTTTATCTCATGGGCAGCCTGCCGAGGCAGGGTCTTCCCCTGCTGAGCCTGCTGGCAGATCAAACAGAAGTGGAGAAGAGTTATAGCCCCCCCACAGACCCCTCCCACAAGGAAGTGAGAAAAGGAGAGGAAGAAAGAGCAAACAGCCCCATGTTGCCCACGGTGCTGTCCCAGCCAGGAGAACTCATTCCAACCCTCTCAGAACTCACAGGTGTCCCCCATAGGGACCCTGGGGAGATCTGGAGGTGCCCCCATGGAGGGGAACAGCACTGCTGCATGGCCTCCAACAAAAGGGAAAGTCCCAGCATCTCCCTGGGTCCTGCTGTGCCTGCTTCGCCATCATGTCAGACCATTCTGAGCCAGCTTCGAGCAAACAGCATAATTAAATGCCTTTATTCCAAGGACTCCCTCTGTGTGTTTGTGTATTTGTGGATTAGCTGCTAATACTGTAAGAGGCTTTATTGCAACTAAATTGATTTCTTCTTTTTTTTCCCCCTCTCTTCTCTTCCCCTGTATTTTCTCCTTCCTGCTCACCAGCCCATGGGGACCATCGCCTTCACCAATCAACAGCAGAGTAAGGACTGCAATGGGGCAGCAACCACAGCAAACCTCTAGGCAAGGAGAGCTGAGGGTCTGATGCTGAGAGCTTCAATTGATGGGGGGACATGGCTGCAGGGTACAGTGGCACTGGCTGTGTCCATCATACAAGCAATAAGGGATGACTTTCCCAAATGTGCAAATTTGTACAGATCTTGACTGTGGAATTATTTTTTTTATCTTGTGGGCTTGTTAACTCAAAGGTTACAGCAGATTTAGGAGGAATTCCTTGCCAAGTAGGCTCAAAAGACATGAGTTGGCAGCACTCAGCATCACACAGGGATCACACCAGCCCATGGTGATGGGGAGATGCGAACACCTGGTCACCCAGGAACACCCAGAGGATCCCAATAACTCCTCAATGCAGTCAGTAAAAGTAATGAGGCTAATAAAGGCAGTCATTACCAGGCAGCAATCTGTGTGCCTCTCCAGGCTTCCCAGGATGGGGCACAAACTGATACTGCACCTTCCTTGTTTCTCGTTCCTTCCCTCCATCCCTCTCCCCTCTCCTTTCCTGGGCAGCAGGAGTGGAGGCCATAATTGAATGTGGCTGGGAGCAACACGAAGCAAAAGGCTGTTGAAAAAGAGAAGAAATGAGGGTACCTGTGGGATTACATGAGCCAGAAAAATGCAAAGCCTGCTTCCAGCTGCCCATAAAATAGATGCCGTCTCCTCTCCCATTGGCAGGGTTTGGCTGCACACAAAAAGGCTGGGAAGAGGATTTTTATGGAATTTATTTATAGGCTGGACGAGCAGCCATGTGCGTGTCCTGGATTTCTGCCTCATACCATGTGCTGGGCATGGCAGCAGCAGACCTGGGGACAAGCAGCAGGGCTGGTGATCAAGTCATGGCCATCCATGGGACTGTCCCTGTCACCCCGCACTGCTGCATCGTCAGCTCTGATGGATGTCCCCAAGGAGCCCTTCTTCTGCATGTCAACAAAATAGGTTTAAAAATGTCACCAAACTCCATGCAAAGCTCCACAGCTGACACTTCAAGGAGCACATTTCATTAACGGGTGGAGGGGAAAAAAGGGAGAAAGGAGGGGAGGGAAAAAAAAAAAGAAAAGTAAAAAAGGAAAAGGAAAAGATTACCTTGCTGAATTAATCAGGCTTCACTGTAATGTTCAGGCTCGGATTTTATTTCCTGTAATAAGCCCATTAATACGGGTGTCTATAGCGCGGGGCTTTTAGCAGCAGGCACCATTAGTGTAACGAGGAAGGGCTAATAGAGTTTTATTGGAATTTTTACTCCAACATCACAGCCTTTTAAAACAGCTGTCTCAATAGGCATTATTATTCTGATTAACATTTAGACAGCACAAATCATAGTGATGCCCTTGGTGTCCTGCAGGTTCTATCACAATCACTGCAAAGTCCCCGACGCGATGGCTGATCCAGACTGGGGGGTGAGGGGGATTCGGACGTTGGTGGGGACAAGGGCTTCATTTCTGTTCTCCTGTGCCAGCATTTCTAAGGAGCTGGGATAGGTCCTGCTGTTACCGACACGCAGCAGAAGCAGCTGGAATCTGACGGTTGCTTTTTGAACATCCCTGATCCTTGGGGGAACTTGAAAATGGGGTGGAGACGGTTAAAAAGCAGCAGGGGGTTATTTATGAGGGCTCTCTGTGGTGGAGCAGTATGTCCTCAGCATCAGGAAATTTGGGATGATGGGGCAACTCCCTGCTTACTGCCTACATGGTCACTGCAGGGTGATGCAGCTCAATCGCTGCCTGTTTCAGGTGCATAACACGTAAGATTACATGGGGCTGTGTTCCCAAAGCCCAGGCAGAGCCCAGACACCCAGCAATGCTCTGGGCTGCCCAGCATAAGCTGGGTGCTGTGCCAAGAGTGGTTCTGGGTAGATTTGGGGTTTTGGTTTTGATTCTCCTGGCATACCATGGCTGTCCTTAGCAGGGAGCTGATTGCTGCAGGGCATGAGGGTGTTCAGCATCTGCTTAATTTTTTGTAATTATTTTTCATGCTAAGTGCCTGATGGTGTCTTTCAGATAGAAACAGAGGGGCTTGGGCCGTTCCCTTTCCCCAGGAGCTACAGGGCCTTCATCTCTCCGTTCCTTCTTCTCTATCCCCCCCCACCCCTCCATCAATTCAATCACAGGCAACTGGAGGCAAGGGGAAACTCAACAGTAAAGGCAAAAACAACAGTAAAACTAGAGTGAAATGACAGCCATAAACCCTGTACCGGCAGGGACAGTAAAAGTGCAGTTTGGCAGGAGCCAGCAGGCCTGCACTCATACTTTTTTTTTTTTTTTCTTCTTTTTTCCTGATTAAAACACTCTGGTCACAGATTAACTTCTTTCACGCAGTATTTATTCTCACCTGTGCTGGGAGGGAGGGAGTTGCTCTGGGCGCGGCAGAGTTTGGGCTTCAGAGCTGGCACCAAAGGGGCCCCAAGCACTGTGACAACGTCACACCGTCACGAGCCTGCAGACTGCGAGGCCGGGGTCTGCAGGTTGTGCAGAGCTGGATCACGCTCAGGATCACAGCAATGATCCTGCACCCAGCTCCATCTCATCTGCCAAAACCATACCCTCCCTGTGATGCAAGAATGGCTGCATCTCTCCTGGCTGTGTTTTCCCATCTCTTCACACTCCACTTAAAGGTACCAAACCCCTAAAAAGCCATTCCCTTCCTTCTACAAATCCATCTGATGTCCTTCCTTGAATCTTTCACTTTTTTGGGGAGGGAAAGAAAAAGAAGAAATTAAACAAAACGAAGCCCTCATAGTGTCTTGGCGTTATTTCAGCAGTACCTGTGCTCCTCAGCACACACCACCTCCCCAGCTTTCATCCTAAATCACAGCACAACAAACAGGCTGTTCATTAGGTTCTGTTTAATTAAGCAATACAGATCCTGCCCTGATATTTACAATCCCACTTGCTCTGATTTATTAGAGAAAGAGTCTCGTTTTTAAAGACGGTGACTGTAAAGTTTAATACCGCTTGACTTACTGCAAGTTTCATTTACGGCCCCAGGCTGACGCACGGCGGGCCAGGCTGAGAGCTGGTGGGCTATTAAATCAGAGCTAACTGCGCGTGCAGGGGGATGACGAGCCTCGTTACAATCGGTTCAGCGGCTAATTACCCCAATCTGGATTCCCACATTTAAGCCAATTCGTTGCCACTTTTCCACGGCCCTGGGGAAGAGCTGGGCAGGGCCTATGATTGCTGTGAGCGTGCACTTGTTGCAAGGAAGAAGGGAAGCAGGGGGCTGCATTGGTGGTGGTAGTCACACTAACATGCCACCATCCACCATTTCCTCCCAAAAATTCTGGGACCTGCTGGACATGGGGAAATAATGATAGGAATGTCTTATGGGCTCTGCGATGGGGTCATCAGGGGCAGGATGGGGACACTGGAGGGGATAGGAACAGAGAAGTGAGGATGGAGACACTGGATGTGATGGGGACATCTGGAAGAGATAATGGGAACATCACAGGGAGGATGGAGACAGCATCCAGCCTTCCACTGGCAGGGATGTGGAAGCAATGCATAGACAGGGACATGTGGCACTTCCCACAAGGCACTGTCTTGAAGGTAGCAGATCAGTCCTGTAGAGGAGAATCTCCCTGCTTGCAAGAGATTTCTGGCCCCCAGGGGACCACTCTCAGACTTCAAAACTCTACAGGCCTCATTAGGGAGTTATGAGAATGGCTCTTCGGTGACAATTAAAATAGAATTGCATGCGGATGTGGCGGCAGATGGTGCTCCATACACTGGGCATCCCCATAGGACAAACCCCCAGATCAGCTGTAAGGCATCACGGAGGAGATGGGGCTGCCGGGGGGAGCAGAGCATGGAGCTGCCGGCCGTGTTCCCCGGCCCACACACCGCATCCAGCCCCACGCTGCACCTCACGCTGCATCCCAAGTACCCAGGCAAGCAGGATGAGGGCTGTTTCCCCAGACAGTGAGAAGGAAGAGGAGCAGTGAGTTTGCCAGCTTCTACCCCTGCCTAGGAGATGAATGCATCTGGGGCAGCCTCCTGCCTTCCACTCCTCAGCCTGCAAGGCAGCTCAGCAGGCCCAGAGCTCCCCCCAGGAGGACAAGAAGGCAATGCAAAGACAGCAGCGAGCAGCTCATCCCCTGCAGCCCCCAGGTTACCTCCCAGCAGCTGTGGGTCCTCCTAACAGGCCAGAAGCCAGCAGGGCACAGCCAGAGGCACTTTGCTTGCGGGTTTATTGGGCAGCACTTCCAGTTCCACCAGTAAGACCAGACTGGGAGGAAGACAAGCCCTTTGGCATAGAGACTGCAGGGATGTGACAGGATGAGGGCTGGGGAAGCCACAGACCATGAGGAAGCTCAGAAGAAGCTGACAGACCTCAGCTGAGCTCTTCGCCACAGGCCTGGGCAGCATCACACCGTCTTCTGAGGCTTCAGCTTGTAGTGCACCTCGGGGAGGGCTCTCAGCCGCTCTGCAGCCTGCAGGGACCAGACACAAGGCTGGGGCAGCTCAGCAAGCATCCAGACCACTCCCTGAGCTCCCCGTGCCAGGCCAGCTCCTCACCTGCTCAGGGGTGAGGTCCCGCTGTGCCTGTGCTAGCATCTCATAGCCCACCATGAATTTGCGGACAGTGGCAGAGCGGAGCAGTGGTGGATAGTAATGGGCATGGAGCTGCCAGTGCCCACAGTCCTCCTGCAGGTGGGGGCCTGTAGGGGCTCCTGAGCAGGGTACAGGGTCAGGTGTGCAATGGGAGAGATGAGGACAGAGGGGCAAAGGAGATGGGACACTCACCATGCCAGCCCATGGAGTAGGGGAAGGAGACTTGGAAGAGGTTGTCGTACTTGATCAGCAGCCGCCGCATGATGGAGGCCAGGCCTGCGGGGTTGGGGGCAGTGAGTGCACCCAGAGCTGGTCAGGACCCCCAGTGACACTAGGCACTGATGACAAGCACGAGTGATGTGCCAGCCACTCCCAAAGTCAGCACCCCAAGAGCATGGAGCATCGTGTCCTTCATTGTCACAAAACCCCATAGAGCTCCCTCCCAAAAAATAGCCCAGGGCATCACTCACTGTTCCTCTCGCTGTCACACAGGTCACGCAGGCGGAGGACATGGCGGCGGGGCAGGAGCAGGGTCTGGAAAGGCCAGGTGGCCCAGTAGGGCACAACCACCAGCCAGTCCTCATTCTCCACCACCAGCCGCTCCTGTGGGACACAACACTCAGGGAATGGGGACAGGGACATCCCCCACTTAGGGACAGGGGGACAGCCACATCCTCACCTTACGTTGAGCCTCCTGCTCGGCGTACTCCAGCAGCATGGGCACACCATGCTGGCTGTGGTGCTGCCGCTGTGTCCGCTCCTCCAGGCGCGCCTCGTTGGGGAGGAAGCTGCTGGCCCACACCTAGCAAGGACACAGTGCTGTGTTATCAGCTGTCCCCAACGAGCTGGCCCCATCACATCCCCCAGGCACTCCAAGATCACGCCACAGCACCTAAATCCAACCCTACAACCAACCAACCACGGTTCCGTGCTGCCACCAGGTGGGCAGTCCAGCATGCAGCAACCACAAGGGACAGTCCCCAGCAGAGAGGGGACAAGAAGGGGACTGACCCCGCTGCGCTCCCATCTTCCAGGGGCTCTATCCTAGAGTCGCCCCTGGGGTCACAGCCTCACCTGGCAGTGTGGGTGTGGGTTGGAGCAGCCCATCATTGCCCCTTTGTTCTCGAAGATCTGTGGAGGAAGCAGTGTAGGGGGTGACAGGTGACAGCACCCCCATCCCCACTGTGGGGAGAAAATGCTGTCCCCAGCATAGGGGGAAACCAGCACAGGAGAACAGAAGCCTGATACATAGGGGTACCAGGTGAGGTTGAGGGACCCAGCCATGGGGCTCCAGCAGCACCTCCCCTGTGTGCCCCCAGGGATGGGGACACATCTCCTGTCCCCAACAGACCTGCACCCAGGGGTAGGAGGCCCCCAGCTCTGCCTCCAGTTCTGCCCACGCATCAATCACTGCCCGGATCTCCACCAGCGACATCAGGGGCAGTGTCAGGTCGGAGTGCGGGTGGAAGCACATCACCTTACTGAGGAAAAAGCCCCACATGGGTGAGAGCCCCAAAATCAGAACAGGATTGCAAAGGAAAGCAGCAGAGCTGCCTGTTGCTAGAACTGGAACACTCACCACACACCACGGGCAGCTGCCGCTTGGAACAGGGGGTGGCCACTGTCATCTGGGGGGGAGAGAGAGAGTAGAGGGGGAATTTGGGCAGCGTCCACACCCCTACAGCCCCCCAGAACCCCTGCAGGAATTACCAGGCTCGGGGGCATCTGGCTGCAATGCAGGGAAGTCATTGGGGAAGACAAAGGTGCCCTCGTAGTTCGGGTTCACCTGTAGCAGTGAGAAATGGAGTCTGGGGATGGGGGGTGAGGCACAGAGGGAAAAACAGGATCAGGGTGCCCCATGGTACCTCACCGTTGGCCCGGGTGGCCCCAGGGCAGAGAGGGTTCTTGGGGTCCCAACGGGGCACGTCCTCAGGGGGGGGCTTCTCCAGCTGTCCGTGCCAGGGCCGCTTCACACGGTGCGCAGACACCAGCACCCACTCATCCCGCAGCGGGTTGTAGCGGGAGTGCTGGTGCTCTGTGGAATGGCAGCAGGGTCACTGAGGGGGCATGAGTGGGGGTCATTCCATTCCATGACTGGGGGGACACGAGTGGGTTGGAGATGTGAATGGGTAGGGAGATGACTGGTGGGACACAAGCAAGGGACATGACTCGGGGAACACGGTATGGAGAACTGAATGGGGGAGTGTGAGCGGAGTAGGAAATGAGTATGGGACGACAGTAAGGAGACTCAGGTGAGGGAGGGGACATGAAAGGGGAACACGAGTGATAGGACTCAACTAGGAGTACACAAGCAGGGGTGGGGACATTTGCTGGATACAAGTTGGACAACATGATTGGGGGGACATGAGTGGGAACTACAGGTGGGCCATGGGCACGAGTGTGTGAAGAGACGAGTGGGGAAACATAAGTGGGGTCACTGCTGGGGGACACGAGCAGGGTGGTGACACAAGTGGGGCACGACTGAGAGGGAGGTAAGTGGAGGAACATGAGGCAGGGGAAGCTGTGGGGGAGGCTACTACGGGGACACGAGTGGGGAGAGACGAGTGCGAGACCACGAGCGGAGTGGGAAACATCTAACGAGGAACACGGGCGGTGGGACTCGAGAAGGGTTAGGGACTTGTGCGGGGACCCGAGCGGTGGTACAAAAACGGGCGACAGAAGCGGGGGACACGAGCGGGATGACACGAGCGGGGCGGGGACTGCCCCTCCTCCCCGCCCCGTGCTCCCCGGCCCCGCCGTACCGCTGGCACGGAAGCCACCTTCGCCTCCCCCCGCCGCCGACTCCATGCCTCCGCCGCCACCCGGAAGCCCCGTCCCCGCCGGGCGGTCCCGGCTCCGTCCCGCCCCTTCGCGCCGGCGCAGCGCAGCGGCCGGGAGCGGCGTGGTCTCGACGGGGCGGTCCCGGGTCGTCCCCGCGGGCGGGGTGGAGCGGCACGGCGCGGCGGGGCGCGGAGAGGAGAGGCGGCATGGGGGTGGGAGGGCCGTGGGTGCTGCGGGTCGGGCTGGGGCTGGGAGCGCTGGCCTTGCTGCTGCAGGGGCTGCGGGGCTGGTTAGCCTGCAAGCGGTACGAGTTCCAGCCCACCGAGATCGCCGAGCTCGCCCGACACCACGCGGGTATGTGGGGGTGGGGGGAGACGGGAATTGGAACCGAAAAGGAGAAAGGGATCGGGAAAGGAGCAGCGGTAGGGGAATGGGGGTGGGAGGCTTTGTTGCTGGGGGGAAGTGGTATGGGGACGGGCGTCAGCTCCCGTAGAGTCACAGCAGGAGCCTGCACGTACTGGGACAGGGTCACCGTCACCTCGGGGTCTCGCTCTAGCTGGTGCCGGGGGGGGGGGGTCCTGGGGCTCTCAGTCCCGTACATCCTTCTCCACCAATTGGGGAGGCAGTGGGGCGGGGACTGGGAAAGGAGTGTTCTCCAGGCAGAGCTGCCAAAGGCCATACCGGGACCCCATGGCTAAGGATGCAGGATAGGGAGGCTGTTAGGTCTTGGTCTATGCCAGGGATTCAGGCTGACCCCGCTATTGCAGGGCTGGATCACGAGCTGGCTTTCTCCAAGATCATTGTGGAACTGCGGAAGAAGCACCCAGGCCACATCCTGCCTGACGAGGACCTGCAGTGGGTGTTTGTGAATGCGGGCGGCTGGATGGGCTCCATGTGTCTGCTGCATGCCTCTCTCACTGAGTATGTGCTGCTCTTCGGGACAGCCATCGACACTGGGGGACACTCAGGTACATGGGGCAGGGGTGTCTCTATGCTCTTTTAGCCCCTGCCCTTCTGGGACTGTCCATCCCAACGGCTGGCAGCCCTCTTATCTCTGCAGGGACATGATGAGTGGTGCTTTGCCCTTTTCAGGTCGCTACTGGGCAGAAATCTATGACACCATCATCTCAGGCACTTTCCGGCAGTGGAAAGAGGGAACCACCAGAAGTGAAATCTATTATCCTGGTAAGCATGACATGAGGGCTGCAATCCCCGTCCTGCAGTATGGCCACTCTGTACTGTCATGCAGCCTCTTCCTTCCAGCTGGCAAGAGCCTAGAGAGAGGGACGAGGCGCTCCATGTCTCCTCACCACAGAAGTGTCAACAATAGAGGGGTGGCTACAGGACACAGAGAAGGGATGGGAAGGGGCTGAGCACTGCATCTCCCAGCCCCACACATCTCCGCTTTGGGCATGATGTGGGACAGCTACTGGGAGTGATGCCATTTGTGTTGGCAGGGGACACCATCGTGCACCAGGCAGGAGAGGCCACGTCAGTGCAGTGGAGTGCAGGCACCTGGATGGTGGAGTACGGCCGAGGCTTTGTTCCATCCACACTTGCCTTCGCGCTGGCAGACACCCTCTTCAGCACTCAGGACTTCATCACCCTCTTCTATACCCTGCGCGCCTACACCAAGGGCCTCCTCCTGGAAGCCAATGCCTTCTTCAGCACTTTGGGCTGCTGAGCCTGGCTGGACAGTGTGCCCCAACAGCCTTCCTCCCCCTTTCTCCTCCTCCCTCTCTGGGCTGCAGATCCCACAACCTGGGGATGAGGATGCTGGTGCATCCAGCACCAAGCAGTCCCTGGGAGGTTCCCCACGTGCCATCTGGGTTGGCAGGCAGCTGCGGCTGTGGTCAGCACAGAGCACAGTGTCCAGCTGGCAGCTCCCACCGTTGCTTCCAGGTGCTGGCAGCACACAGTGTCCCCAGGCACCAGCGGAGGATGCCCAGGCAGTATGGGGATGATCAGCCTCTGTGCTGAAGGTCTGTTCTGGCACCTATCCCCGCTGTGTCACTTGCCCCTTGAGTGGAAGAGATCCCTTCCTTGTGCCTCCCCCTTGTTTTCCCAGGGGGGACAGCCACAATCTGTCGCCTTAACCAAGCATGGCCTCCAGGCTGTGCATATATTGAGTGTCTGCGGGTGCCCAAAACTCTGAATCAGCTCAGGATGGGACTTTGCCCCTCAAAACACTTCCCCTGGCTGAGAGCCGGCAAGGTCCCCAGCCAAGTGGGGGTGTGCACTCTGCTCACGGCCTGATGCCCATGTGGGCTCAGCAGAGGGCTTCCAGCTCTGTTCTGTTCCCAAAATACTCTGTGTCCCCAGGCCAAAAGCCTACAGTACATCTCTCCTTATCCCTCCAACTGGCAGCCCTGTGCATGGGCTACATTGTCTTTTGTCACCCCGGAAGAGATGGCAGTAATAAACATCATCATCCCACCTGCTTGGGTGTCTGGTGTGTGCAGAGCCCCCAGCATGAGATATGGGGCTGGGGGCTCCTTGGGGACAGCCATGGGGGCGCAACAGTGCAGAGGGATAGGTAGGAGTGTGGGGAGAGAAGGGTGTGAGAAGAGCATGGAAGGTGATCCTGGGGTGCATGGGCTATGCACACATGTGCAGGGCTGCAAGCAGTGCTCTGTGTGGATGTGCATTAGCTGTGCATAGGTGTGTGTGTGATTAAAAATGTGCAGGTGGATAGAGGGCAGGTGTGTGCACATGTATGCATATGCAGAGCAAGCATGCATCTATATGGTCAGGAAAGGCTGGTGCCAGGGGGGATCCTGGTGCATAGCATATAGCGCATGTGCATGGATGTGTGTAGGCAGAGAAGCTGTGTGCGTGCGTTTGTGCACATCTGTGCACGTGCCCCATTCAGGTTCACAGGTGTATGTACATGCACACATGTGCACATGGCTGTGTTTATGTGTGTGCTCCACAGGCCTGTCGAGGAACATGAGTGATCCTGCTCTGGCCCGCACAGGAAGGTGCTAACTCAGCAGCTCGTATCAATACCGCTCCACTTACAGCGCAGGCCACGTAATGAAAATCCGATGGGCACGCTGGTGGGAGTAAATAAGTATGCCATTAAAATGAGAAAATCAAAGCTCTGGACAGGTCTTTTCTCTTGCCCATTGATTTCTTTTATTACGGAAATATTGCTGCTAAATAACATTAGTGTGAACAATCTCAGCAGTGTTTTCAGTAGCACCTGTGTCAATAATGCCATGGTGAGCAAGAGTCCCCATGGGGCTGCCCCAGGGGTGCCCTTATCACCCCTAGGTGTGTTCAGCAGAGGAAGGGAGCAGCTCAAGGGGTTTTGGTGAGGGTTGTCCTTAACCACCATTTGATTCACATGGGGAAGCTGAGGCAGGGTGCGCGCTCCCCTGCTACCACTGACTCAAGCACAGCCCCTGTCCTGGGCTGTGGATTGTGTTCAGAGCGCTTCAGCTGCCTGCACCCAAGCACCAAGTGACCCAGACACGTGGGAGGGCTGCAGCTTTTGGCACACAGAAGCCAAGTGGGGATCCCAGGGCACCTCAGAGGTGGCCAAAGAGACTCTGTGATGTGGGTCCAGCTGCAGCTCCTCAGAGCCATCACAGGACAAATGCACTTCGCTGCCCAACACGCACCTTCACGCTGCAGCCTGCTCTATCTTGCTGTCCCTCCACACACAGTGGGTATTGATCAGCCCACAGGATCTATTTCCCGATTCCTCCTGCAGTATCTCTCTGCTCAGAGTATCTCTCAATCTACTCTGCTGTCTGCTGTGCCCTTCTATACCTACAGTATCTACCTGTGCTGCTTCCACTGCAGCCATCAATACACATTTTTCTGGGGGATTTCTCTTTTCTCTCCAGCACTGCCAGATCCCAGCAGTGTACAATGCATAGCGGGTGGAGGGAACACGGCCCTTGCAGGTCCAAACAGGTACAGTCCCCATAAGGTGATGGGGGACACGTCAGTCTGGTGCACAAGAGGATGGGCACAGCCCAACACAGGGGGTGCCAGCACCCTCGGGTGCACCAAAAAGAGGGGCTGCAGCCCATAATCTAGTGCTGGAAGTGTTGGGAAAGGATGGGCCGAGGCGGGCTACAGCTGTCCAGCCTCGAAACAGGATGGCCGACAGCTGCTTTATCTCCCGTGCAAAGATAAACAGCGTCCGGGGGCCCTGCGGGGTCGGAGTGCTGCACTGCCGCACGAGCCCCGGGCAGCACAGCGGTGAGCTTCCGCTGCTCCCAGCACAAGGCGGCAGTGCAAGGGTAGAGGCTGCGGGATCCTGGACCCAGCCCACGGGCAGGGCTCGTTTTGCGGGTCAGGACTCGGCGATTGCCTCTGGCTTCAGCCCCCCCTTTGTACCGCCCAGTGACAGGGTGCACCCCACCCCCCCGGACACACGTGTGCACACACCTACCTGTGCACATAGAGCACACGCCCACCCCTCCCGACATGGATCGCTGCAGATAAGCACACAAGCCGCACACACCCAGCCCCAGCACGTCCAGGTAGGCACATCATTGTCCCCAGCGGTGTGAAAACGTGTGCACACACAAAGCACACACACAAAGCACTCATGTTCAGCTCCTCCAACAATGCTGCATGTGTGCATGTGAACAACTCTGCACAATGTATGCACTCTGCTCCTGTGGGGTGAATGCACACCTTAAACACCATGTGCATGCACACACACACACACACACACCATCTGCACAGACTGCCCCGCACACTCACACACACACACAAGGAGTTCACACACAACTACAGGCGTGCTGACACCCTACATCTCACACAAACACACACACACACACACACACACACACACACACACGGTGTTCACTATCCTTGCTGTGCACGAATGCACGGATTTCCGGCAAAGCAACATGCAGATGCGTGCACAGGCAGAAACCTTCTGCACCCATACACATACGCAGCAGAGCACACTCCTACAGAGGAGCACAGATCCCCGCACACGCACACACAGCCGCTCTAGCAGCCTCGGGCTCTGTGATCTCCGCGGGCCGGTCCCTGGGCTCCCCTGGGGCTGCGCAGGTCCGGCCCTCCCCGGCTGCCTCCCTTGACGTGCGCTAGCAAATGGGAGCGGGGAGGGGTGTTGCTGCCTGCCTGCCACTTGTTGCAAGGAAAGGAAAAAAAAAAAAAAAAAAAAAAAAAAAAAAA